ATAATCCAATATATATATATATATATATATATATATATATATATATATATATATATATATATATATATATATATATATATATATATTTATTTATTTATTTATTTATAAAGAATAAATTTAAAAAATTAAAAATTTCTTGAAAAATAAAAAAATTAAAACTTTTTCAGGCAATGATTCTATCAATCCGTTTGGATTTGAAGTTTAGATTACTTTGAAGGGAATCCATCAACAGTAATCTTTATTATTTATTTATTTATTTATTTAATTATTTAATAAAAAAACCAAACAAAATTCTTCATTCCAATAATTCAATCTTTATCTTCTAAACCCTAATATGCTCTTGGTCTACAAGATTTTGATTTCAATTTTGTTTGATCCCTAGATTCCAAAACCCCAATTTTTTTTATTTTTTTTTTTAGATTTTAATAATTTAGGAGTAAATGATTTTATAGAAAAATATGGTCTCGCCCGTGTGTTATACTAAGTTCGAGATGGGCGAATTGCTGAGTAATCAGTGTCGGTATTCACTTGAGCTATACTTATATCAGCAACAAAACTACACATTACTAAGTTTGGTTTCAAAAGTTATGTCATGTCCCTTAATTTTTAACTTTTAACTAGTAAGTCCTCGAATATTCAAACTTTTAAGAAATTTATCGACTGGCCATAGGCCAGAGGGATCTATTAGACAAACAAACCATTAAACCATTGAGAGTGTAAAAATCTATGACATACCCATTAAAGCTCAGAAGTGTATTGGACACAAAATTGAAAAATTTAAAGAAACTGGGGTCGGTCCTCCATGCATCCAATCAGAGGTGAGCGTGTTCTTGGATCATCATAGAAACATATTTAGGGTCGCAACTTCACTCCTCTCCTTCACCTTTACAGCAGAGCATGCCCAACCTCGGGAAGCTGGAAAACTAAGACCTTACCTTTACAAATGGTGCTTTATCCTGACATTGCTCCTTCCTTTCGTCAACGCGGTTATACGTTCATAAGTTCCGAGACGAAAGTAAACAAAACTGATACTCCCCTTGTAATTTAACACATAAATTAATGGTTTGGTGTAATAAGTTTGCAAAGATAGCAACCATTTTTGGCATCCATTGTCATTTGGCAATACAAATTCAATGACTCTCTCTCTCTTAAAAGCATTGTTTTTGTAACAGCAGAGCCCAATCATCTCCTCCACTGAATAGGAAACACACATGATTGCACCCAACAAACCAATCCTTTCATATTATTCTTCCCTCCTCTGTTCTGAAACAGAGTCACCTATTTATCTTCCCTTCTTCATCTCTCCCCCTCCATCACATATAAAGCTCTCCACTTTTCACACATTTACCCACTTCTCTCAAATGGGTACCTCCTCTTCTACAGCCACCTCCCTCCATGGCTTCTATCAGTTCATCTCCCATGAGCTCGACGACCTCGACGCCTCGTTCGTCTCCTCCAACTTAATGTCCCTTCACTTTCTTCAAAAAGTCCTCTCTTTTCTTAGAACCCTCCACTCTCAGCTCATCCAACTTGGCCAACGCCTCCACCTCCCCGTCGGTGGTAAGTGGCTTGATGAGTATATGGATGAAAGCTCCCGCACATGGGAAGCTTGCCAAGTCCTCAAATCTGGAATCTCAAGCTTGGAGCTTTTTCATGAGGAAGCTTTTGCTATAGTTTCTTCTTTGCAGGATCCTCATTTTCTTCGTGTTAATGCTCGAGCTTCTCAAAGGGTTCGTTTTTTATTTGGTTTTGCTGCAGTTTTGCTCTGTTTTACTCTGTTTTGATATACTCTGTTTTGGGGTTTTGCAGATTCTTCGTGAAATTACTGATTTCGAGAGGAATGTTTTTGGGTTAGAGGAGGAAAATAGAAGCTTGATGTATACAAGAATTCATCCATTATCACTGTTCTGTTTCAACGGCAGCGGCGGCACATCAACCGGAATTGGATCGACGTCGAAATTGAATGCTTTCAATGGATTCAGAGGGGTTCTTCATGCAGTGAAGAGAATCAGCTCATTACTTCTAATGATTCTTCTGTGTGCTCTTGTGTATTGTTTGCCAGAATCAAGCTTCCATGAAAGTAGTGAGATTGAGAATGAAGAAGATCACCATTTAAGGACCATGTTCAGCTCGAGCTTCCTAGCATCAATGGCGAGATTGAGACAGAGAGTGGCAAATGAAATAGACAGAGTAGATGGGCAGTCAGTGGGGATCTTGCTGTTTGAATTCAGGGAAGCAAAGGCAGCCATGGAAGGCCTGAAAGTGGAGCTGGAGAGGGGTATGGAGGAAGAAGAAGAAGAAGGAGTTGAAATTGAGGAGAAAGTTGAGAGATTGAATGGTTGGTTTGGGTCATTGAGAAATGGAGTGGACGCCATTGTTGGGCAGCTTGATGATTTCCTTGATGAGATTGTTGAGGGAAGACAGAAGCTTTTGGATATGTGTACTAATAACAGGTAGAGAGGGGGAAAAGGAGGATCTGGGTATGCTTCAAAATGCAAAATTTGAGAAGAATTAGTGAAGATTTTTGGAAGATAAGAGATGTTGTGTAATTTTTACTTGGTGTTCTTTTCATTTTTGATTTGGAATCACATTGTTTATAGAAGGTTGTGATGATAGCTTAAAAGGAAGAAAATTCAGGAGGAGAGAGAGAGGGAGAGAGTGAGAGAGAAGCATTGATTCTGAAATTGCTTTGAAGAAAAGCAGCAAAATAGAGAGAGAGGATTTTGGCAGTGAAGAAAAGAAAGATTCTTGTGGCATTTTACAAGCACTCCACACAGCCACACTAATATTATTCCAAACAAATCCAAAGGTCAATTATACTCAATACATAAACAATTTTGTACTCTAATAAGTATCAATGTGATTTGATTTTTTTTTTTCGTTCTAAATTCGTCTAAACAACTGTGTTCTTTTTCGTAGTGTTTCATGGATTAAGACATTCGTTTTCGCCAAAACAAATAGTGTTGTGTGTTTTTTCTTGATGGGTCATCAGGGGCAGGTGTCTTTGATGTCTTTGATATACAATATCCGAGACTCTCTCCCTTTCATGTGTGTTTTTTTTTTCTTGATGATATCGTTTTCTAAGATAGGACAAGTCAGGAGCAGATGTCTTTGATATACGATATCCAAGGCTCCTTCTCAAATGGTAAGAGATATCCAAGGTGCAAAATGAGATTCGAAGTTATATTTGTTTTTTTACATCTCCCTCATCTTCGTCCTCCCAAGCTAGACTCTCACATGTTCAGGGTCCGATTGGATCAATCAAGACTAATTTACAAAACAAGGAGTTAGACAAGAGCGACGAGATCGATAGACAAGAATCTATTAAAAGATATTGGTTGGTTAGAACAACCAATATCACTACTAATCAAAGTACAAAAGAGATAGAGTTAATGTTTTTTTTTTTTCTTCTTTTGCATGAAACAGGGGGCTACTAAAGTATAAAAGTTTGTGTGAACTATCTGTTCATAGTTTATAACTTTGAAACCAAGAACAGCTTTAATTATTCTGATAAAAAAGCTCAACAAATTTTGAAAACATCTAAACAGTTTATTTTTAAAAAAGATTAAAAGGAACAGCCACACAATCTTCTTGGTGAGTAGACAAGATCTTGTCCTCATTTTAATCAACCTAAACTACTTGTATTTTTCCTTTTTTTTGCCAAGTTACTAAAACAATATCCCTAAATCTTGGCTTTTGTCTACAAAATACTTCTAAAAAATTGTAATAAAGTTATACCGAGATGTTTATGAACAAAATTTATGGGTATTTTTGTAATTTAGTGTAACGACCCACGGGTAACTACAAAACAAAAAGTAACTTTTTTAAGGAAGGGATAAATAAATTATGTTTTTAACCCAAATAAATAACTTATGAATGCAAAGAGGAAGAAAATAATGATAATGATGAAGAAACTCCCTAACCACAAGGCTCTTTGATGTGGAAAATAGGCAAAGACAATGACATTTGTCACTTAAAAAAAAAAACAACATTTAGGGTTCCTTTTCATGGCCCTCTCAATCTCTCCAATCACCTATTCATCCTCCCATGAAGAAAAGGCATCATTCTATGACCTCCCTACACTCTTCTCTCTAAAGCTAAAGCAAATCAAAGTTTTAAATATAATGTTCATATGATTTTATAACTTTACCATAAAAAAAATTCCAATGCAATGTTCGAGATATATATAAAAGAAGTTAGAATTTTTCAATAATACTGATAAAATACACCTTTCTCCAGTACAACAACAGTAGGAGAATACATGTTGATTACTGTTGAACTATGCTTACTTTGGCAACCATGTTCCTAAAATAACATAGACTTTCATTATGATTGAAGTATATTACACGTCTGGTCTACTAATATTAACACAAAAGATTCATTCAACAGGAACATATGCATAAACAATTTTTCCGAAAAACCTACGTATGTTAAAGATTTGGTCCCGAGTCATATATTTGGAACTCAATGAATCGATGAGAAGAGGGGGGAAACAGGGCAATGCAATTGAGTGGGCAAACCAAATATATGTGATGTTTGTACCATTAGATTGTGCAAAGATTTCTCTGTTTTTATGTTTACTTTTTAAATAATGAAATTTGGTAATTTGGTAGAGATTCTTTTCCTTTGTAGTTGTGATAGTTGGGATAGTAAATGGCTAATCATTGCCATCGAGAATTAATGATGGGAAAATGGACAACTTGATAAGACTACTAGAGAGGGAGAGAGAAGCCATGGATTTAGCTTTTTCCTTAATACAATTTTCTAAGAAAATATTCTCAAGGAAACTTTGGTCATGATTCGTGACCCATCAAGTATGGTCATATAATGATATAAAATGATAAAGGGAGAACTGAATTTTAGATGTTGGAGTTAAAAGGGATCGTCATTTTCATTGTGAGAAATCTTGTGTGCCTATGTTCTAAAACTTTCAGATCAGCATCTACTCTCTCCCTCCCTAGTTCCTGTTGAGAATTGTTGAGAGAGAGTCTCACGTTGACTAATTTAAGAAATAATCATGAGTTATAAGTGAGGAATATATCTCAATAGGTATGAGGCCTTTTGGGAAAGTCCAAAGTAAAGTTATGAGAGCTTATGCTCAAAGTGGACAATAACATACCATTGTGGAAAGTCGTGATTTCTCACGGTTCCTACTCACTCCTTTAGTTAGGTTGTTAAAGTTAGGTTGTTAAGCTAAACCTAGGGAAGGAGCTAGAAAAAGACCCTAATGGATAGTAGATCTTGATGAAAAAGACCCTAATGGATGGTACAAGATCGTGGATTCACCATTCTCATTAACTCTTTTCCCCCTCATTTGGCCCTAAGCTTGCCCAATAAGAAGAATAAGATGACTGTTGTCCAAAAACTATGTGGCATTGTGCAGAAAACATAAGGCATGAAGAAGAAATAGTGGAAGCAGAGCCATGGCCCCTGTGCCTGTACTTTGAAAGAGGACTGTGGGGAACTGAAGGTCCAAAGTTAAAAAAAAAAAAAAAAGCACATACAAGGTTCTCCTCCTCCATCCAACTTTAGCTTTTTGGTAGTGGAGGTGATTTCCAAGTCTATTTCCAAGCAACTATTAGCCAACAGTTTCTGCATCTTAAGCTCATATAAATGTACTCCTATTGCCCAGCTGATTCTTATGTTTTCATGTCACATCCCCTTTTTTGCAGGGTTTTTTTTTTTCTTTTTTTTCCCCACCACATCCAGACCAGTCTATAACAGAACTTCAGAATCAACATGGGAAAAAGCAACTACAGTTATGTTTCCTTCTGAACATGTAAAAGTAAAAGATCAGCACACAGAACTTTCACTAGCACAGAAAATGGAAAAAGGCTGTACAGTTTTTGTCCTATCAATATAGTCCCCACAATACAGAAAATTGGATGGAGTGATTGTGGCTCAAGATGATCACAGTTTGGTTGGGAACAAAACAAACACTAATGTACTAACTCAAATGCAAATATCAGATCTTATCAGTTTATCTATCGTAACTACATCAACTTCTGCAATTTCGAAAAGACGATCATGCATCAAAATGGCAATAATAACGAAAAGGAAAATGTAGAAGTGCAAGAACCATAGCAGCATTTTCTATTAACAATCATGGATGAATGAAATCGACTAGAACTTTGGAGAAGTTAACTATATTGATGAATGGACACTTATATAACATTATAATGAATGAACTTGACATAATTTGTATGAGGGAGGAAATGTAGCAAGAACTTACACAATGGAACTCTGATCAAAGGAAATTGACCAGCATTGTGCGTACTTCCTACCACATCATCACACATCAAGCTGGCAAAATGATTCCTCAGCCGTGGCCATAAACAATCAGGTCCAAAGCATTCTTCCCGGTCTCTGATAGAGTACTATATTTTTTTAAATTATATTCCCTCCTAGCCACCAGTTTCTTCAGTTGATTGGATCCCAGAAATGACACCACCAAAAAACTGCTCATGACGCCTCCATCCATTGTACACATTCGGCCTTGTAGAAGAAAAGATCGGCATTACTAAATTCTCTTCTGATGATTGGAAAGGCCCTTCTCAAAACAATAAGATGATAAGTAAATGCAGGCATCTGAATAAACAGCAGCCCCAAGAGAGGGAGAAGCTTCAAGATTTTATATGGAAGGCATGATGAGCAGCAGATCTTTTTTTTTTTTTTTTTAGGGACAACAAATGGTCACCCATTTCAAAATGCAAATCCAACTACCATTCAAGTTTCAAGACCAGGCATTGCAAATTTAGCTGAAAAACTTGCAACACGGTATCCGAGCTCAACAACTTCATTACTACTTTGAAGGCCCCTAAGAAAAGGTTTCGGCAACTTCCCATGCTCTCGCTGAACAACAACTGCAATTTGAGCGGCTATATGAAGAAATTCTACAATTACTTCAAAATCAGATTCCAGACAGCCTCTTGATGTCATAGCTGGGGTGCCTGCAGGGATAACAGACAGACAGCTAATTTATTAGAATAATCAAAATGCATACTGAGCTCTTCAATCTTAGGTTATCCCCAAAATATGAAATATAAGAGGGAAACTCACCGATCCTTACTCCTCCAGGAGTAATAATTCCATTATCACCAAATATTGTAATTTTGTTGAGAGTAATGTGGCACATCTCACAAACTTGCTCAAAGTTTTTACCTACAATTAGCAAGGCATCAAAAAGGTTACACAACGTATAATGAATGGAGAATAATAGAGTAACCAGCCACATATACCATCAAAGCTAGAACTTAGATGAAACAGACGCATAAAAATCTATCTTCATTTGTTTTACATCGTATAATACAAATAAAGAAGCCAGAGAAATGGATCTTCTTGCAGGATACTAAATAGCGCACTATGATATTAAAATTCTTTTATCAATGAAACAATGTCCAGTATCCAGTTGAAAAGTCAGAAAAGCTAATTCATGACGTCAAAATTATACTTATGATCTCAGTATCAGGCTCAATACAGGAGGATGTGGCGGAGATCTCCTTTGAAAGAAAAAAAAATTATTCAAGCCGAACTACATTATGAACTTATTTCATTACAAGCCAAATCTTTCACAATAGACTCAGCAATCCTCATCAATCCTCATCAATATAAAATGTAGTCCTAGAGATGGATCGTGAACTAAAGACCAAACTGAATTAAATACATTGTTTTGCAGGGTGAAGATCCACCGTTCTTAACAAGAGGCTTCTGAAGCAATTTGGTAGAAAGGACGCCTAAGAAGACAAGAGGCTTCTGATAGTGCTTTATAGATGCTAAGTTCACGATCCTAAGTAGGGGAGCAATGCCTCAATTTATGGGCAAAATCGACACGGAACCACTAATATAATCTTTGAAAAAATGAAAAACTGCATCCAACCACACATTATGTAGTAACCATGCCAACTAAATTGACTCGATCGGCGGTTAGGTCGGTTCAATTAGGCAATTTTTTGCTTATCTTAATTTTCTTTCAATGGAGAGAAATTATAAAATGAAGGAAATAGGAACCGCATAATCAGTCAACTCGGTTGATGGTCGGCACACAACATCCCAAACCACTGCTGACTGATTAAGCTTGATTTTACTTGCACCCTAATGCTAAGACTTGCCTTGCCTTAAAATAGCATGCCTTGTTCATCTTTTCATCACTTCTGACATGTCTTTTTTTATGACTGACTGATTAAGAATTATCTTGAAAATTCTCTCATTTCTTGCCAACCAAATTCTTTGATTTCTAACACCTTACTAATATAATTAAGATAACTTTTTAAGCGTACTCAACTACAGTATCCTGTTTTGAATGGTTATACAGTTGATACAAAACAAATCTATTTATTCCAAATTATGTAACTCATGTAATATAATAATATACCATTTCCTCTAATCACACCCCACAGCGCATAACATAATCTACCCTCACTGTGCATGAGCAATGTTTTAGTGCGCCTCTTTCCTCTAGAAACAAAAAACTAATTGTGCACCTAAAATGTATCATGTTCACATCAATCTGCAAAATTTGGATAAAAATTATTACCTGTCAATCCCAAGGACCTTAGATCCCAGAGTACCATGTGATTATCTGTGCCACCAGTTACAAGCTTGTAGTTCTTTCGGAGTAGAGCAGAAGCTAAGGCTTGAGCATTTTTTTTCACCTGCTGCATGTATGCTTTGTACTCCAGAGTAGCCACTTGTTTTAGAGCCACAGCAAGCGCAGCAATATGGTTATTGTGTGGTCCACCTTGTAAGGATGGAAAAACAGCGAAGTTTATCTTCTCCTCAAAGTCATATTGGTTAGATTCATTTCCCTGATACAGAAGCATTGCTATCGTCCTTGGCCTACTACCCTTCCTATAAAAAATTATACCTCCCCTTGGACCTCGAAGGCTCTTATGAGTAGTGGAAGTCACAACATCACAGTACCCAAAAGGGCTGACACATTCCTGTAATGAAATTCAAATCCAAATAAATCAAAATAAAAACAGAGTAGGGATAATTCTTTGTCTAAGATTACAGGATTACACACGAACTACTGATGGACTGGACCAAACAATGCAAGTGAAAAAATAATTAAGGATGTAAAGAAACACACTAAAAATTGCAGAAACACGAAGTTGAATGAAACTGTATAATACAATCCAGTAGAAAGAAAAATTATTTTTCAAGAAGAACAATACCATAATTCATAAGCTTAAAGATTCAGAAGCAGTCCAGAGTGTTTCTCAAAGGTTTCAATTCTCATAAAATCAATGGGGTCAAGACATCTTGGCCCAACACACTGCTAAACTAAGGTAAAGACCTAAAATCAGTGTCTACCGAGATCCCTTGGTCAGTTACATTTTACTATCACAAAGAATTTCCATACAACCACCCTTCGACGCATTTTCTGAGTGTCAGGTAAAACAATTCAAAAATCATAATTATGTTAACAAGCAACTAAATTGCAACCCAAGAGAATGAGGACATGATAGCAATTAGAACATGTGAAAAGAAAACCAAAAACTTTGATGAACCGAGAAACCAAAAAATTAATAAACAGACATTCAAGCAAGGGCCGTAGCATCGCTAATGGTGAAGAAAAATTCAAACCTTAGCAGCAACAAGGCCACTGATTTGAGCCATATCACACATCAGAACTGCTCCACACTTATCTGCAATCTGCCTAAACCTTCTATAATCCAATTCACGAGGATACGAGCTCCCCCCACAAATAAGTATTTTTGGGCGAAAGTCAAGCGCCCTCTCCTCAAGCTTATCATAATCGATATACCCAGTTTGCGGATTAACCTTATATGGAAAACTCTCGAAGAAAATTGAGGCCCCAGAAACTTTTCTTCCATTCGGGGTACAGTAGCCATGACTAGTGTTACCACCCGAAGGAGTATCCAACCCCATGATTCGATCACCCGGGAGTAGCAGACCAGTGTAGACAGCAAAGTTCGCGGATGTGCATGAATAAGGTTGCACGTTAACTCCCCAACTATCAGAATCAAGACCAAACGCTGCCAATGCGCGCTCACGACATAGCGTTTCAATCTCATCTATATATTGATTTCCACAGTAATACCTCGCACCGGGCATACCTTCGGAGTACTTATTAGTCAAGTGGCTTCCAAGTGCTTCCATTACTGCACGACACACATAATTCTCAGAAGCAATCAATTCAATGCCCTTGATTTGCCTCTGTTTCTCCTTCTCCATAATTCCAAATAGGTTAGGGTCCGCGGCTCGAAGGGTCTGGTTACCCCACGACCGTACAGCACTTCTTCGTGTCTCTAAATCACGTTCACACGAATTTCTCTTTGCAGAACTCGACGAGAACGAAGATTCACTATCTCTTCGGCGCTTCAAGCACATAGAATGGCCCAGAATATGAAACTCTTCTACATCCCTGTCGTCTTCTCTCTCCGCACCTCCAACCTCGTCTCTGTGACTCTCCGTCAGCGGTTCCATCAACTGAAGAGGGATTGGGGGGGACGAAAACGTGGGTTCCTGTCGAGAAGATTCGAGATGAAGCAGAATGGAATCATCAGCAATCTGAACGCGGTGCGGTGGCGAAGCATGCGATGAGATTCCGAGAGAAAGATTGGAATTGGAATTAGACAAATCCATTAACTACGAACAAAGCCACAAATATCAAAGTCTTAAGCCTATCAAACGAATTCCAGTCCCCAAAAGATTACACCTCCTGTAAACAAACACAATCCAAGATAGAGAAATTTGGCAAAGCCAAACCCCAACAGAATCTCCGAATCAGGAACAATAGCAAGAACAACAAGAACAGCGGCAGGGGCAGGGGCGATTGAGGTCGGTAGAACGGCAAAGCTTGAATGTTTGTGGCATTGAACTCAACGAAACTTCCATGGAAAAGCCAGAAACAGCGAAAACCCTAAGACTGTCAGATTTCCCTACAGAATGGAGGTCCTGAGAGCGAGAGACAGGAGAAGGAAGAAGAAGAGGAGGAGGAGAAGGCGGGCGTCGGATCGACGATGACAGGTTGTTTCTTATTACGGCGGTGGAGAACGAACCTGGACATAATAATATACTAATAATAATGTGAAAATTTTGATAGTAATTTTTTATTTAATTTTCAACCAATCAATTTGCTTTTAAAAATTTAAAATAATTATGGATTCAATAAAAAAAAAAAAAAAAAAAA